ATCTTATTGAGAAGATAATCATATTTTTATTATAAGTAAAATACGTATAAATTATCTTATTAAGAAGATAATCATATATTCATTAGAAATAATCCTCACATATATCATCTTATTGAAAAGATAATCAGTTATATAAACTCTTGAAGCTATAAAAGTTAATAACTGTCATGAACACAGCTACTATTACTATTTTAAAATAATTACATATATATAATCTTAAAATGATAATAATATTAATATTTTAATATATTATAAAATAATTAAAAAATTATTTTATCATTAAATAATATCTTTTTCTAATTATTATTTATATATTTTTCTATTTATTTAATCTATTTTTTTGTAAGATAATATAAGTATTAGTATACTTATAAAAAATATATTTTAATATTTGAGATTAGTTAGATATCTTGATACTATTATATGAAAAATATTTATTTTGATATCTTTCAATTTAATAATAATAAATTTAGTTAAAATTATGAAATTTCTTTAAATATATTAGATAAATATATAAAAATTATAAAATATTATTTTTTTTAATTTAGTTACTAAAATCTTTGTGCTTTATATTTCTAATTTCTTAAGATTTTAATAGATATTTTTAAATAAAATTTTTATATTTTAATAGTCTTATATCTTTTCTATTATTAGAATTATAAAATAAGCTGATGATATATTTCTTATTTAAATGATACTATTTTAATATTTGATAAAAGAAAAAAATTTAGAATATATACAATTAAAAATAATAAAATAATTTAAATTATGATTTATAAATTAATATTAAGAATATTATACTATTTAAAATTATTATCAATAAAATTATTATTTTGATAATTATTATTATATATAAAAATAATTTTTAAAAATTAAGAATGATATTATTTAACATATTTATTTAAAGTTCTCACTTTATTACAAACTAATTAATTACATGTATTATACAAAACTAACCAATCAGATACTATAAATACAAAATCAACTTGTGTCACGTGAAGATCTAGCCAATCAGAAAAGATTTCTTAATGCTAAAAATTTTATAATTTATTATTTTTTATAATAAAATACCCATAGAAAAAGTTTAAATTATTACTATATTTTTATCTAACAATATATTCTTTTTTAAAATTTTATTTTTAAATACATAGTTTTAGTTATTCAAAACATTGGATATCTTTAAACTTTCTGCATCATATACTTTACAAAAAAAATTACATACAATTATAATACTTATCTAACAATGTATTCTTTTTATTTTTAGATAAAGTTTAGTATTTCAAAACATTGAATGTCTTTAGACTTTCTGCACCATAGGAAAAAATAACATATTGACCCTGCGATTTGATTGGTTTATTATTTAATTAAGTATAGAATTTTCATTTTTTCTCTAACATTATAATTATTGAACAATTTCATCTAATAATAACGACCCATATAGTATATTTAGCCAAACCTATCTTATATGGATATGTAATAATGGAGTATATATGGGCAATTCAGTATGGTATACATTGGAAAGGTATAACCTGTTCACTCATACCAAACTCATGCGGTTATTCGATATTCTATACACCTGTAACGGTAAATGATGTGAATCGAAGGATAAGAAAAACAAGTTTATGTTGAATGTTTTGATTTGGAGATTTTCTCTAGATACGTCTATATTAGAGTTGGGAGTCGAAACTATATCGATAGTTTAGGTTAAAGTTCCGAAACCTAAAGCTATAATCGAAACTATAGTCGAAACTATTTGAAATAGTTTAGGCGTCCAACTCTCGATTCTATATATCTTGGTCGTGAGAATTAGGAAGTGCTGCGTGATCTCTCACTATCTGTTATAAAAATCAAGAATAATGGAATTATTTCAGAGTTAGCAATAGGTTTATTATCATAGAAATTGTTTAAGATCCCATAAAATTAAAATCAACAGCTTACCACTCCTATCATCGTCACCAACCAACCCAGCCTCCAAATCATCTGGCTGATAGAAACGATGACTAAAGGGCATTTGTGAAGTCTCATACCACGGCAGAGGATAATATTGCAGATAACAAAACGCGGCAAATATTATTCCGAGTAGACCGCCAAAAGCTACGTCTTCCCAGTGATGTCGATAGTCATTCGTGCGTGAGATTCCCACAAGTGATGCAAACACGTATGGTGCGACGATGATAAATGATTTGTATGTGTGACCTTGGCTATCGCATATTCGTAGTTTTCCGGCGAGGTAGAACGATAGAAATGACATTCCTGCGAATGCAGCTATTTCGAATGATTAATGTGAGATTCACGAGATTAGCTAATTGATAATAATAAAATTAATATAATAGAATTTTGAAATGCTTACTTGACGTATGTCCTGAAGGAAAACTTTTAAATGCATCGCTTTCAATTTTTGCATCTGTCCATGTACAAATATCCGAGCTGCTTAGACCATATGGTAATTTGTCAGTTGCATTGGCTATTGGTTGACAACGAGCAATGAAATCTGGGCGTGGTCTACCAACTGTAACCTATTTAATTGATTTATGAGTTATTGGTTTATTTTATTAATTAATATCGATGTATAAATTTTACCTTTATCGATTGTACCACTACAGTCGTCAATGTAAGCGTGAGTAAAAGACCCAAAGTCGCGTTATGCCAATCAAGATAACTTCTTTTGATTGCTAACGATATGACGGTCATTATTACGAACGGTACGATAGCAGAAATCGTCTAGAAAAAGTAATTTAGTTTATTGGGTGAAATAAAATTAATTGCAAGAATAAGTTTATTCAAACAATAAAATTACTCATAACTTACGAGTAATGCCCACATAGGCACCCGTTCGTGCTCAGTATAGGGATATTGAATTGAGGAATCATTGAGCGAGAATCGTCGATGAAATGGTGGTAGTGTGCCAATCGCGTAAAATGCTGCCAAGAATAAGACTGGCAGTATCCAACTATGTAAACAGAATTTAATCAACAACTAAGAAAATCAATCAATCAATTTATCGGATACTCACTCCTTAGCATAAGATAGTACTAGTTTTTTGGTGTTAACAGGTTTCATATTTTGTATATGTATTTAATTGATATATATGATATTAAATTCGTTTATCGATAATTTTCTATTTATACTTTATACAAAGAGAGAAAAAAAAGCTTTTCGAGAGGTTTGAAAAGAGAATTTTCACTTTATTACTATATATGATGTTACCCAAATTTCTGGAAGCACGAAAAATAAGCCGTTCTCAACCGGTCAATAATACATAATGCGAAAAAAAGTTGCCTTTGTTTGTGTAAATATATACATATATAGACATGTATATACACATACATACTCCACACGACGTCACGCTTGATTTAAAAATTTACCATCTTCACGAGATTCTTCAATGCCGAATGGCTAAAACATAAAAATAGCAATGAGTAACTCATTGGTGAACAATAAAAGTATTACAATACGGGATGCATGATAAATAAAGTTGTTACTTTATCAAAAATCCGTCGTTGAAAAAAAAATATAACTGCAAGTTCGGGATTGTAAAAAAAAAATAGAGCCCGAATAATTTAAAGTGATGATGTAATTACAAGAATAATCTTCAATGCCTAAAAGAGAATAATTTAGATAGGATCAGGATTCATAAATAAGAAAGTCAGTCGGTGAATCAATAAAACTAATAGGTTTCTTTCTATTGCTACATCATCTTATAGATTTCCATTATATACTTACAAAAATAATGAGATGACGACAACAACGATGATAGTGAGAATTATTAATCATCTCGTGTCTCCTCTTAAGATATTTCGTCTTTTTTCAACATTATCATCATAATCATCATTTCACCGAATTTGATTTTTTTAAATTTATTCCTTTCGCATATAGTACTCTATTGCCGTTGAAAATGCAGCAAATCCTGCACATCCAATAGCAGTCGCTTGAGGTCCAGCTCTAGCGGCCAGTATAGCCCCAGTAACACACCCAGCACCAACACCGTTATACATATCATTTTTAGCTCGATACTATTGATTAGATTAAATCATTATTCCTCTTTACATAATTCTAAGTAATAAATAGAATGATAATATCGAAATATATCCAAACACCCACCCCTTCTATTATGCACTCAGTACCAGAGAAAATTGCCCCAACAACCGCAAAATTTTTCGCCATTGAGAATGATTTGTTTGCCATATCTTTTGCCGTGTGTTTTAGTTGTTGTCGCATCGGTTTTTCAAGTACTGCTGGATCTGCGGACGACATTTCAAACGATGACATAAACATTCCGAACACTCCTCCTAACACAAATCCTGAATAATAAAGAGGAGAGGATTTTTTGGTGGAGAAGGTTTATTTAATAATCAATAAAGTATGCTAATCGAAAGGATTATCTGCATAGAATAAACATCAATTTCATGGCTATATTATTTACCTCCTGCTAAACTAAATATCGATTTGAGTATACATGATTCACTTATTTTCTGAGCATAGATTTGATCTTGTGGCAATTGTTGGTGTTGAGTTGGATGTCGCCCTGGAAATGACATTTTTTGTCTTATTTCTGATTCACTATCGTGATCAGGGACTCGGAAAAATTCTGATATATAGATATCGATATAAAAAAACGGAATTTTGAAAAAAAAGGAAAAATATATTCTGAGATTCGGGATCAGTATTATCTATTGGTCAAAGATCTTCTGGATAATACCAATGATTAACTTTTCACGTGATTATTCTGTAATTCAAAACATGATGAAATGATTATAAAGTATAATTATGATAATAAAAATTTGAGATATATTCTCTCAGCGACATATTGAAGAGATCTTATTTCCAAAATAGATATAAGTATAATAAGAGAAAAAAAACATTGATATAAGTAATTAAATGTGATGATATATATAAAAAAACTTTGATAATAATATATTATATTAGAACTTTAACTTAAACTAAATTCATTCAAGTAATATATAATGAATATTATTTTTATATAAATAATAGACAGTAAAGAATCTGAATTCAAGAGAAAAAAAATATTCTTTATCTAAAATATATAGAATGCTCATTATAAGTTTAGCTTTTCTTTATTTATATTATAAATTATTATAATTATCTAACCAATAACTATATGAAAATATATATATTAAAGATAAAAAAGCTTTTGTTCTTTATTTTATTCAAATAAATAGATATTAAAAATTAAAGTATATATTAGATTCACTCATATATAAAGCAATTTTAATATTTAAGATATTATATTCTGAGTATATCAGAGTTTTTTACTTTAATTAATTAATAAATTATAATATTATAGCTAAGAATATACTAATTATAAGAAAAATAAACTTGTGTAATCTAAAATATATAATAGCTAATATATTAATAAATTTAAAGAAAAGTATATATATTTTATGAAATAGTTAAAAAAAATTGAAAAATATCAAATAAATACTTGTAAAATAAAATCTTTAATTTATAAAGAAAATTTATTTAATATATGAGAAATATTCTAAGAAATATATTAATGAGTTAAATTATTATATATAAAGAATTATATTATTATAATCTAATTTTCTTGAATAAGTAATTATTAAAATAAAATATATCTTTAAGTAATATCTAAAATTCTATTATAAATATAACTTTATAAAGAATATTAGAGTTTTATAAAACAAAAAATTCAAAAATTATATAGCTATAGTTATGTAAACTTAGTAAATTAGTTTTTGTAAATTCTTAATAATATATTTATAATTATTATTCATAAGTTTATCTATAAGTTATAAAGATATATAAATATATATAATAAAAAATTAAAGAATTAGATTGCTAAATATATTATTATAAATATAAATCACATCATTAAATATTAAGTAACTAGAGATATTATCTCAATTAATTATAACTTACAATAGTTAATTAGAGAATTATAATAATTAATTAAAGAATTATGATAACTAATTAGAGAATTATGATCAAGTTACAATGTTATTTTTATAAATAACTAAAGATATTATTACCATAGTGACATAAAATTCCTTAATTCCTTAATTTTTCCCTAGTTATGAAATATTACATTTTATTATGGTTTTATTTATT